GGTTAGTAGGTCTGCTAATTCTTTGGCTGATGCTTTAACCTAACAGGGGGTTTCTAGGGAAGATCTTTTTTGTGCTTCTTTGTAAGTTGTTATTAATTTGGAAATCTGTACTTAACTAGCCCGGAGAGGATGCAACTCGTGCCTTTCCTTGGGGACTTTGTACTATTGTCTATTGCTGATTAATAAAATTATTTCAATTATTAAAAAAAAAGAGAAAGAACTCTCACCATTTTTTTTTTGATGAATGAAAGAACTCTCACCATTCAACTTACACAAAATGCACCAATTGGGAGACAAGCACCAATTTAGTCTTTTCTTTTGCAACAAATCACCCGTGTTGATGCTCTCATGATAAACTTCCCAAAAGAAAGCACTGATTTTTGGGGAGATAAAGGCACACCAGACTTCTTTTAAAGGGAAGGAATGGGATGGGGTAGAGGCCACTAGTGAAGAGAAGAATGATTTGCAAGTAAACGACCCAGAGGGACTGAGATCCCACACCCATCTGTCTTCCCCATATACATTCTTAATCAATTATACTTTTTGATTACTTGAAGAAATAGGGCTATGGATTGAGTAGAACTATACCAATCTGTTATTTTGTGGCTCAGTATGCTTCTGAATTAGATCATGAACTGAAAATAGATTTTTGTTAGATTTAGAAAACCTAATTATTTGGTAAAAAAGTTAGCTTTCTATCTTATCCAATCTGATCTATTGCAATATTGTTTGCAACTTGACCTTAACATTTAGTTCTTCAGGTCAATGGCTTTCTAAAAAATGTTCTCCCATTTTATTTGATATTTAGTTCTTCAAGTCAATAGCTTTCTAAAATGTTCTCCCATTTTATTTGCTTGGTTCTGTTGATGCAGATCGTGGGTACTACTCTGTGGAGACTGTCACTCTTCTAGTGGCATTAAAAGTTCGTTATAGAGACAGAATTACAATTTTAAGAGGAAATCATGAAAGCCGACAAATAACCCAAGTGTAAGGCGTTTATCCTTTTCCAGTCTGTTCCTAATATTGGTCAGATGAGGTCCTTCTAGTTTTGCAATATAACTTATTGGATGGCCAGAAAACAAGAATTTGTGCATATTTTCTTGCATGAAAGTGAAACAACTAGTAAATAGCTATACTATATGCACAGTATCACATGTTACTCCCATTGCAACTGCAATCTGTATGTAAAGTATTAGATGCTATTCCTATTGCAACTTTAGTTACTTAGGGCATAATGCATAATATTTTCAAATGCAATTTGTTTGGGCATAATTTGGCACGAGTCACAAAAAAAGCCCCTACTTTAGTCACACCTAATCTCCCTACTTGATTGCAATGAAATAATGGTGCCCTAAGAGTATAAATACACAGACAACTTAACTCCATTGAACAAAGCCTTGTCATTACTTGATTGAGCTCAGCTACGTGAAGCTTGTTGTACTGTCTTTGTAATGATGATTCTAGATTCATTTTCTGCTTAATATATAATATTTATGAAACTAATTTAAATGCTTTACTAAATTTTAAAATAATGGCAACTTAGTAGGTGATTTTGTCTCCATAAATTGGAGAATGATGGTGTTTTGGAACTTTTTAAATTAATGTGCATTATCAGACAGATAACAGGGTAGAGAGACACCTAGCCTTCATTAAACCAATGCTGCACATTGGAGAAGACCAGAGGGTTGGAGTTCATGCAATCAACAATGATGTTGGTGGGAAGGTGGAGTGTCGTCCAGAGGTTGAAGACAATGAACAGGAGATGCGGAGGGGTAAAATAGTAATTTCAGGAAGGCTGAGAATGAATTTAATAAAGATGGGCATGTGGTCGAAAAGTCTAAGGAGAGGGCTGAAGTCGAAAAGGTAGAGGGAGAACTTTCAAGAGAGGGAGACAAACAGTTGTTTCTGGCTCCTAGAGGGGATAGAAGGTTGAGTGGCAACCTCTTTATAGAGAGTTTAAAAATTTTAGAAATATAACTGAAAAGTAAGCAACGGGTCATTAATGGGAAGGATTTTGGTGTAAAGGTGTCAAGCCATTTTAAGAAGTGGGGGGCCCCAAGTAGGAGGAAAGGTGCAAGCCAAGACCGAAGGGAGAAGAAAGAAAAGTGGATTGCTGGGTTGAAGGTAGCAGAAGATAGTGGTGACTCTATTAACCAGTCTAACCTATCAGTGATGTTTGGAAATTCAGGGGTGAGCTGAAGAAGATTAAATGGCTCACTACTAACCTATCAGTGATGTTTCAATGGCAGAGAAGATCGGCCAATGGAATGGCTGACTTTCTAGCCAAGCAGGGGGTTAATTCTGGACTCAGATATAACTTATTTTTTCTGTTAATTGTTTGCTACTGTATGAGGTGAATCTCGCACCTCTCCGTGGGCTGATTGTATTGATGACTTTCTGTGTTTAATAAGATCCATTTACCTATCAAAAAAAGATAGTTAAAGTTAAATTTTGATGGCAGCAACATTAGGAATCCAGGACAATCAGGAATTGGAGGGGTTTTCAGAAACGAGGAAGGAAATACCATAGCCCTTTTCTCTGGTCCAATTGGAGAGGATGATTCTCTCAGTGCTGAGATATCAGCAGCCCTGGAAGGGATCCAAAGAGCAAGAGAACTGGATATTAGGAGACTGATTCTTGAAGGAGATTCAGAGATAGTAGTAAGTTGGTTAAAGGTAGACAAGCCTGGTTTGTGGAAATGCAACAATGAGAGGAAAAAATTTAAATGGCTGGCAAAGGATATTGAAGTTAAGTACAGCTGGGTTAAAAGAACTCCAAATGCCTTTGCTGATAGGCTAGCTAAGCAAGGTGTGTATAGGGCTTATTTCTAATTCTGTTTTTTTCTTGTGGGGGAGTTAAGATAGTTTACTTCCCTCTGTTTAATTGTAATACCTCCTAATTAATTCCAATGAAATTCTGTTATTGATAATAAAAAAAAGATAGTGGTGACTCTGATATTGTTTAATGTCCTGAGATATGCGAGGCTGAGGCAAGATTAGAAGGGCATCCCAGAGGTAAATCAGATGTTGTTGGGTCCAAATTTCATGGGCTGCAGTCAATTTCTCTATCGCTCTTGCCCGGCCAATCCTTTGTTCCTGATGAGATGGAACAGAGGACTTGGGCTAAAGTTGCAGGCTTGCTTGTTGTTTGCATAGAAGGGTGGGTTTGAGGATGTTCTGGGAGTTAGAGTGGAGAAGGTGATGAAGAATGTCAAAAAGGACAAGGCAGAATGGGGTGAAGCGAAGGAGGGAGGTGGTGTTAAGGGAGGAGTTCATTGTTGCCACTTTATCATGATGGTCTTGATTTAGCTTCGCCTGCTCCTATAGGCAGCTGTTGTGATCATTTGATGTATGAACTATGAAGTGGTTGTCAGAAACGTGGGTTTTGATCTGCGCCAAAGGAGGAAGGAATCTGTGAAGGTTGAGGGTTCTGCAGCAGTGCTGCTTCAGAGGTTCAGAAGAAAGTCGGTCTCAAATGTATCCAATATTGTGCATGCTACTAAGGTCTTTTCATGATTGAAAGGACTGGTTGGGGCAGGGCATACAAACATAAATGGTTATACAAAAGAAAGGGGTGAAAGTCAGAGCTTCAAATGTTGAAGACCCTACAGTTGAAAGCAAAAGTCTAGACCTGGGTAGGAAGAGGAACATTTTGGTTTCTCCTCGCTGGAGGTAGTTGGAAAACATTGGAGTTTTAGAGGAGAAGCAAAGGGAGGAAGAAAGTGAAATTGAGGGGTTGCTTTGAAGGTGCTGCCAGAAGGGGAAGGGGCGAAGAAAGAAAGTATGGATTTGAAGAAAATTATTGACAGAGAAGTGGAGGCCAGTAAATATTTGGATCATTGTGTGTGTGTGTGTGTGGACTCCAGATCTCCTACCCTCAAGAACTCTACCCACACCTGCCCACAAAACACACCTCCATGCATTGGGAACATCTCCCCATGCATAATAACATGCAAGAGTATGAGATGTTCCCCATATGTGGCTGCAATCTCATGTGGGTAGGTGTGGGTAGAGTCATCGTGGGTAGGAGATCTGGACTCGTGTGTGTGTGTGGAGAGGAGAGTTTTGCTAGAGGAGATTTCAAAGAATATGAGAGAAGGAAAAGAGCCTTAAGAAATCCATAGTAGGGAAAGGAGGAGCAATTTGGAATGAGGAAGGAGGGCAGGAAGAATTTTGTGACAGAGAGCACTGCATTTGATCTTCAGGAGGAGCTATTGGGAATGGCATTATGTGTTTGAAAGAAGGGATCTGTGTTGAGTTTTGTTGTAGTAGTCTGCTTTCAGTTTGGTTGGGTAGGGTTGTTTTCTAGCTTATTTTGTGAGATGTTACTTTAGCCCCTGCTAGTTGGATGTATCCAGTTCTCTTTTTTTCTTTAATGAAAGTTTTATTTTTTAATTAAAAAAACCAACATTTGTATCTGGATGTGCAAATATGGAAGTAATCACACAACATTTTCTAGACTGTAATTAGTACTGCTCAACTATTGGATTTTTTCATCATGGTTTTAGTCTAGACTATGCCCTTACCCCGGGTATTTTAAAAATGAAAGGCACAAGAGCATTTTAGCACCCAAGGTAAAAGGCGGTGCATGGTCCTGGAGGAAGCAAGGTGCAATTTTTTGAGGACTTTTTTTAAGGTCAAGGACTTTTTTAGGGTTTGGGGACTTATTGCTGCCTCCTCATCTACAAGACAGCAATTTTTTTAGGCATACTCTCCCCCAACAGATGGCTGGAAGAAGCTGAACTTTGATGGGAGTTATGTGGATAATCCGGGTCCCTCAGGCATTGAGGGGGCATTAGAGATGAAGATGGAAACATCATTGCTCTGTACTCCTGTCCTGTGGAGCAGGGTGATGTGGCAAGGGCAGAGCTTCTAGCTGCAGCATATGGGGTTGAAAAGGTTAAAGAGTTGGGTATTTATAGACTGGTCATCGAGGGAGACTCAAAAACTGTGATAAAATGGTTGCAGAAGGGGGAAGGGGTGACATGACATTTGAAGAATGAATTCAGAAGATATAAATAGTTGTCAAAGGACATGTCAATCCAGGTGGGATGGGTGAGGAGATCTGCCAACAGTTTGGCATGCACCTTTTGAAAGGCACATTTTAGGGTATGCGCCTTGCCTAGGTCCTAGGCACATGCCTGGTGCGCTTTGCGCCTTAGCCCAGTTATGCACCTTTTGAAAATTTCACGTTTTTTTGCTTTTTTTAAATCTAGCGGCTGGGCCAGCCCCCGGACCCTCGTGCCACACCCCTCTAGGTAAGCCCAAACAAGTCCATTTCAAGGTCTTAAATTCTTAGTTCTCACACAAAAAATAATATTTTTATAATTTTAATTGCTCCTATAACCCCCCTATTTGCTAATGTTGTTCATTCATTCATCCTAATAAAACATCTTCTTAAAAAGCAATTAAAATTATAAAATCATTATTTTTTGTGTGAGAACTAAGAATTTAAGACCCTAAAATGGACTTGTTTGGGCTTGCCTCGAATAGCGTGGCACAAAGGCGACTCGTAGAACCAGGAATGTAATATGTTTTACATCACATTACCTACTTGAAGTAATGCAATTGAGGAAAAAAAGAGATTGTGGATTTTACATGCTTGAAAATGTTTTATATGCTTGATTGTATTTTTAAATTTTAATTTGAATACGCTTTACATGTTATGTGTATGTATTTTAATTTTAGATAATGGGCTTTTTAAAAACATTTATTTTAAAATTTATATTTGTATTTTTTATTAATATTATGTTTATAATTTTTTGCCTTTTATTGAATTTTCTGACATTTTTTATTTTTAGCATTTTTTGTAATTTTGCACCTTGCTTCAAAAAGGCACATGCCTTGCCTTGTGCCTTGCACTTTTAAAACACTGCGCTTAGCAAAGCAAGGGTTTCAAAAAACATCTGTTTTGGGTTCATTTGTAATTCTTTTCTGGGTAAGCTTGCCAAAGCTGGTTTCTTTCACAACTTCTTGTCGTATTCTAATCATTGAAATCATTTCAGAGTTATTGATCCAAAAAAAAGGAAGCAAGGTGCATTTTTTTGGAAAATAATCAAAAAATAAAAACATGTCCATACATAAAATATGAAAATCATAATTAAAAAAAAAGGAATGTTTTTAAAAGCTTATAAGCTCAAATCAAAATACAAACACATAACATATAAAGCAAATCCAAAGTGAGTCAAAATGAAGGAAAACAGATTTGGATCATACCAAAGTACTTCAAAAACTCAGCAATTCATGCATTTGAAACTTTCAGCATGTTTGTCCATCTCCAAGTTGCATAACTTCAAGTAGCGTGTTGTTAGATGTCTTGCATTCTTGAATCCTAGAAGGATTGTCAAACGGGATCTTTATTCCTATGGCCTAACTGGATCATGAATCGTGGAATTCACATATCCTAATTTTGGTAACTATTAATGCAGTTTTTTAGAAAAAAAAAACATTAATACATCATGTACTGTTGATAGGAAAAATGGAAGCAATATGGCCTTTTGCTTGTATTTTGGAAATGATTGCTATGCAGCTGTCTTGCATTGTCCTGTTAAGAAGTGCAAAATGAAGTTTATAGGAGTTTATGATCTTAAAATGCCCCAACAATAATGCAGTCAAATCCTATTGTTAGTTACTAATGTTGGGTTTTATTTCAGATATGGTTTCTATGATGAATGCTTGAGAAAATACGGAAACGCAAATGTCTGGAAGTATTTCACTGACCTTTTTGATTATCTACCCCTCACGGCCCTTATTGAAAGCCAGGTTTGAGTTCTAGATTAATCCAGGTCTTTCTAACTCAGTTTAGCTCATAATCATTTCTGACTTTCATTATTTGTCAAATGTAGATTTTCTGCTTGCATGGTGGACTCTCCCCATCTTTGGATACATTAGATAACATCCGGGCTTTGGACCGTATACAGGAAGTATGCATACAGTTCTGACCTTTCTTATTCATATCACGAACATGTATTTGACAATGTGTGCTTGCAACTTTGGGTTGTGTTTTTCATGTACTTTCTTTCAGAATGGTACATCAATTGTCTGTTTCTCCCCCACCGCTGGAAAGTTGGAAAAAATATCTTTTTTTCCATGGATCACTTTATTGAAATTTTAAATATTTTTTAAGGGATTAAATTCCATTTTTTCAGGTGTATTCTTTTATTCTTGGGGATAATTATTGATTTTTTATACTTGAGATCAATGACCTATATGCGGCTTATCAAAAAGATGTTGCTGCCCCCCTTCCCCTTCCCTCTTTACTTTGCTGCCTGATGGTTGAAAATGACTTCTAACTGCCTGGTTTGATGCCTTTTTGGTGTTACCAAAACACTGTTGCCTTGGCCATTTTAGCATGGAAAGAAGCTATATGACTGAAACAAGCTATATGACTGAAAATGAGTTAGCAATCATTGTCTGATGTATGCAAGTAATGAGTTAGCAATCATTGTTTTCCCATTATACTCTACCAACTGAAACAAGCTATATGACTGAAAATGAAGAGGGGGGAGGCCACAGAATATCTGGAACTATTTATGATATCTCCATCTCAAGGGTTTTACACACAGAAATCCGGGCGTATTTGATTATTTTTTGTCTGATGTATGCAAGTAATGTGTTGAAGATCCTGAAGGTAGATGATAATTTGCATTGCTATTCAGATCTCCTACTCTTAACTGATCTAGACATTCACCAAAAGTCGGCTCACTCCTAAGTCATTTGGTTTTGATTCTATCCTTCAAATTTCTAATAGATTGTTGGTGGGATTTGGGAATGTTATAAGTGATTATTCAAAACAGAATTGTTAGAATAGCTTGTTTTGGGGTAGGAGTAGGAAACAAGCTATTCTGCTAGGTTGTAAGAATTTTTTGTCTAAGACCACATTTACTATTGTTGTTCTTAGTGGCATTTGGTAGGATATGCTATCTCAATTAGGGATACCATTTGAAAGTATCTTTTTCCTGTGCTGAACAAGGAAGCTAGTTTTGAAACAAAATGGTCTTGTCCATAGAATAGGGCATGTATGAGAAGATAAAGATATAAGAAACATGTAAAAGAAAAAAGAAACAGTTGCCACTTTTCAAAATGGCGAAAGAAATACATCTCAGGACAGTTGTCAAAAAAAAGGAATTAATCTCGGGAGGCCTTCAATGTTCTTAGACCTAAAATACCTCCCTTACGTTGTAAGGAATGATTAAATGAAGACTATGAAGTGGCAAAATATGATATTAATGGTTGGTTTTGTTTCCTCCCCCCATGAACAGCTTGTCTGCTTTATGGACGGTTTCATCATTCTTAGAAATTGCATTAGGTTGTCAAGGTTTGCTTTTATTACTTTGGCTTTTGTATTTTCCTCAGTTGATGGCTTTGGCTTTCTGATATCCCTTTTCCACTCTGGAGTAGGTTCCACATGAGGGACCAATGTGTGATCTCTTGTGGTCTGATCCGGATGATCGATGTGGGTGGGGGATCTCTCCCCGGGGAGCTGGATACACGTTCGGACAGGATATTGCTTCTCAGTTCAATCACACGAATGGGCTTACCCTTATTTCAAGAGCCCATCAGCTTGTCATGGAAGGTTACAACTGGTGTCAGGTGGGTTAACCTAGCAGGAAAGCATGGTTTGTTTTTACTATCTACTATGTTTTCAGTTTTTTGTTTCATCATTCATTTTTCATTTACACAGTTGATTCATTTTTTTTAGTTTGATTGTTTTGTTCAATGGTTGCAGGACAAGAATGTAGTTACGGTATTCAGTGCCCCAAACTATTGTTACCGGTGTGGTAACATGGCAGCAATACTTGAGATTGGGGAAAACATGGATCAGAATTTTCTTCAATTTGACCCTGCGCCACGGCAGATTGAGCCCGACACCACACGCAAGACTCCAGACTATTTTTTGTAATCTTTATATCTTGGCCACCAGTTGGTGATACTTCTTGTTTCTTGTTGTGTTTATGTAGATGTGTTTAAGAGGGGAAGAGGTTTGTCGTTAAGTGGAGAGAGAGACAGGGAGATGAGTATCATTCTTTTGTTTGGATTTGTCTTGCTGCTGCCATGTTGTGGTTACGGAACTATTGGAAGGCTTTACTTGGCATTTGTCTTGTATTCTTAGAAAAGGGAAGCGGCAATAACAAAATCTCTTGTTTTATAATTTACGTTCTATGGTGGTCTATGGATTTGGGTTAGGTTTTGTCAATGAAAGCTGTACCTGAAATGATCGCCAATGCATGTTGAATGGTGGGAAGCTGGTGGTATTGAATTGGTTTGCAATGCCCACCAACGGACGATTACCAACTTACCTTGTATGATGTCCAATTTGACTAAGACTATTTTGCAAATGAAATTTGTTCAAATAAAGTGGGAATGTCCCATTAGATGCAAGCACGGAAAGAGCTTGCCTTGCATTGTGAATTGGCGTCCTTTACGATTCTGTCTCTCGTGAAGCCCAATTACGAATCTCTGAAATAATGCGGTGACTTGTTAGACCATAGATGGCTTACCCCTGGGTGATCCAAGGAATAAGCATTGCTTGTTGAAAACCGGCCAAACATTAAAGTGGCATTTGACTAAGGGTGCAAATGGATTGGATCATGAACCCATTCTATTTGGTTTAATTTGGATCACCCTGGTCGGATTCTCCCCCCTCCCAATCCAATCCGATATGTTATATATTTATTTATATATATATATGTTATTTATTTATAAATATATTGTTTATATTATATTTTTGTAAATTATTATATTATTTATTTTGTTATAAAAACATGTATATATGATGAAAATAATTAAAAAATATTTATATTTATATTTTTTATTTAAATTGGTATATTTTATTTTTTTTATAATAATTTGTTAATTTTTAAAGAGAAAATAATATTTATATATTAAAACTGTTCCTACCATGTCAGCATAGCTCTTCTTTAAGAGAAGTTACTTATCTATTTTCTCCTTTTTTTGAATTTTTCATTTTTTAATTTCATGTCATTATTGAAACAACCAATGAGATTCACTTTCCCAATAACCTAAAAAATCTCATCTCCTACAATTTCTCCTAAACTACCTCCCCCACTATCCCTTGCTTTCTCCAAAATTATCTCTAATTCCTATTTATCCTCTAAATTATCTCTAATTTAGTGAAGAGTTTCTCTCCTAAATTATCTCTAATTCCTATTTATCATCTCCCCTACTTCTTATCTATATCTATCTAAAGAAAGTTTGGATTAAAAAAATTAAGAATTATTTCAATATTCTAACAAAATTATATAATAATTTTAAAATATTTATTCAAAACACACAAAAAAATTATATTTTTACAAAATATATCACAAAATTATGTACTAACAATTTAAATTATGTTTTTTCTGGATTATCAATTTAAATGTTTTTCAAATATTTAATAATATGTAATAGCTTTAAATAAATAAAATTAAAATAAAAAAGTTAAATATTTTATAGATCATTTAAATATTTATCATAACTAGATTTTAAATAGTTATAATAACGAAATTATGTAATAAATTTAAAAAACATTCTTCAAAGTAGAAAAATAATTATAACATAATATTTAAATAATTATTAACTAAAAATATAACATAAGATAAAATAACAAAATTAATAATTTATTTTTCTCTAATTCCAATTTATCTTCTAAATCATATCTAATTGCTATTTATCATCTCCCCTACTTCTTATCTTTATCTATCTAAAGAAAGTTTGGATTAAAAAATTTAAGAATTATTTAAATATTCTAACAAAATTATATAATAACTTTAAAATATTTATTCAAAACATAGAAAAAAATTATATTTTAACAAAATATATCACGAAATTATGTACTAACCATTTAAATAAGTTTTTTACAGATTATCAATTTAAATGTTTCTCAAATATTTAATAATATGTAATAGCTTTAAATAAATAAAATTTAAATATTTTATAAATCATTTAAATATTTATCATAACTTGATTTTAAATAGTTAAAATAACGAAATTATGTAATAAATATAAAAACTTTCTTCAAAGTAGAAAAATAATTATAACATAATATTTAAATTAATAATAATTTAATATATTACAAAGTTAATAATGAAATTATGTAATAATAGTATAAATTATGATTTTATGGATAAATAAATTCAATAAATAGTTAATATTTTAAATTTTAAATATTTTACATATTATTTAAATATTTAAATAACTAAATATTTTAAATAAAAATATTTAACATAACTATATTTTAAATAGTTAAAGTAAAGAAATTATGTAATAAATTTAAAATAATTCTAAAAAGTAGAAAAATAATTATAACATAATATTGAAATTAATAATAATTTAATATTTTTACATAATATTGTAAATAATTAATTTCACTTATTAATAATAATTTTAAACTCTTAATTTATATTTATTATATAATTATATATACTAAAATTAATATTACCATCTCTTGTGATAAATGTATTTTCAATGATTATGTATAAATTTATTTTGTTTTGTTATTTAATAGAAAACTTTCAAAAATTATTGGAGATTAAATTACTATTATTGAAAATTTTAAATTTAATTTATTGTATTTTTTTTATAAGTTATTGTTTAATATTTAGTAGAGATTAAACTATTATTTGAGAATATATTATTTATTGGCAAAGTTAATATGTTTTTAGTACTTATTGTATTTTTGTAATTTTTGAAATTATTGTATTTTTCATTATCAATATATTTTCAATAATTGTGTATTTTTGCTATAAATTTTCTATTATTATTGGAGATTAAACTATTGTTATTTATCAGAGATAAAACTATTAATTTAACTGAAATTATGAGTGTTCATGAGTTGGTTCAGTTCAGTCATAGGCTATTTGGCCAACCAAATTGACCTAGTCAGGTTAGGGAGTTAGTAAGCTTGAACCAACTAACATTTTGTGAAAATCAACCCACTCAAGTTGTACCGGTTTGGGTCGGTTTACAAATGGCCAAAGTGAAACTGATCCAACTTGGTCAAATTTGGAAATTTTTTAACCAAAGCCAACCTAAAAGACTAGAAAACTGACCAACATGGGTTGAATTTATCGGGTTGGTCGGTTTCATCGGTTTGATAAATAAACCTAACTAAAATTAATTATTGTTATTTTTGTATTATAAAAAATTTATTAAAAGTAGTATATAAAATATGAATAATTATTAATTATTTAAAAAGTTGAAGATATAAAACAATTGTATACTCTTATATGTTTCTATTAGGGTCATTTATTAGAGCACACTTTTAGGGATGGCAATTTTCCCCATCCTCGACGAGGACCTGACTTCCCCGACCCGATGGGGCTGGGGTGGGGATTGAGGTCCTCGCCCCACCCGACCCTGATTATATATATATAGTATTATTTATAATTTAAATTTTTTATTTATTTTAATAAATTTATTTCAAAAATACTATTATTTGAAAACATTTTGGTGATTTGAGTCCCCACGGGGAACCCATCCCCGTTGGGGATCGGAGGTGGGGGTTAATTTCAGAATCGGGGTCAGGGACGGGGAATATGATCACCACCCCATCGCCATTCCTACACACCTTATAGTTTTACATATTTGCTTAAACCTATCTTATAGTTTTCATTTTACTAAAACATCCCATATATTTTACAACTTATTTACTTAATCAACGTTTCATTAAGGAGTGTTTTTTTTTTTTTGCCATTAGGCCCATATTTTTTATTCCAAAAATACCCCTACTTTTTTTGTATAAAAAACAAAATTAACCAAATATAGCCAATAGAGTGGTTGCCCGTGTCTTATTAAGGGAAAAAATGGTATTATTTTTATTTTTATTTTATTTTGATTAAATTTTTTTAAATGAATATTAGGGTCAACATTGTTATCTAATGGAAGATTGATTAAATCCATTGTAAATTATATGTGGTGTTTTAGTAAAATTCTAACTATAGGGTAGATTTTAGTAAGCCCATAAAACTATAAGGGGTATTTTAGTATATAACCCTTTTCTATTATTTTGATTTCTCTCAATAACTAAAAATCTTAAATAAAAACATTAAAAATAGCTAAATAATATAACAAAATATTTAATATTATGTAATAACATTAAAATAAATAAAATTCAAATAATGAAAAGTTTTAAATATTTTACATATTATTTAAATATTTAAATAACAACATATTTAAAATGACAAAATTTTAAATAGTTAAAATAAGAAATTATGTAATAAATTAAAAAAAATCTTAAAAGTAGAAAAATAATTATAATAGGATTCATAATATTCATATTAATAATAATTTAATATTTTAGAAAACTAATAACGAATTATGTAATAATAGTACAATTTTAATTTTATGGATTATTAAATTCAATAAATAATTACTATTTTTAAGAATTTAAATGAAAATTCTATTTAAATAAGTAAATAATATTGTAAATAACTAATTTCACTTAAATCAATTAATAATTATAGAAAATAACTATCAACAAAAATATATTTATTAGTAATAATTTTACAATAATAGTGTATGTTCATTATATATTTATATTTACTATAATTAATATTTATTTCCTTTTCAGTAATTATTGATTGTTTTTTATAAATATGCTTTCAATAATTATTTATAAATGTATTTTTATTTTTGTTATTTAATATAAAATTATCAATAATTATTGGAGATTAAAAAACTATTATTTAACTATTGAAATTTAATTTGTCGTATTTATTGTATTTTTGTTATAAATTTATTTTTAGTAAATTTTCAGTATTTATTGACTATTTATTGACTAATTTAGTATATTTTCAGTATTTATTATATTTTTGTAATTATTATATTTTTATTATATATCTATTATATTTTCATTATAAACGTATTTTTAATGATTGTGTATGTTTGCTATAAATCTTCAATAATTATTGGAGATTAAACTATTATTAATTATTAGAGATTAGACTATAAATTTAGTTGAAATTAGGAGTGTTCAATGATTGGTTCAATTCACTTCCATGTTGTTTCGCCAACCAAATCGATTTGGTCATGTATGCAGTTTGTCATTCGAAACCGATTGACCATTAGTGAAAACCCACCAACTTAGGTTGTATCGATTTGGGTCTATTTTAGGTTTAGTTTGTTCATTTAAAAGATTTAAACAAACTATAATTTCAAAATTATTAAAGATAAATGACTATGGGAAATGGAAAACTA